TAAAAAATACAAAAATATATAGCTACCTAAGTACCTATGTACTTAAATAACTATATATTTATATATGTTACCGGAAAAGATTACATTTAGTCAATGACTATCCTGTTAAAAGAAGGCATTGATAATAATTAGGGTTAAGATTTTTATGACTTTTGCATATTTTTTCTTTTAGTCGTGCACATTGCAGATTCAATAATAAATTCATTAACATAGAATCAGATACATGATACATTTCAATGTAATGTAGCAAATTTAAAAATAACTTAAATATAATATAAATCTCGATATAACGTAAATGACATATTTAATTTTTTTAAAGGTATATTTTGATATTTATTGGGCATATTTGTATGTATTTTTTAGTCTTTTTAAGATCATTAACATCCTAACCCTAATGATAACTTTAAAAATCGAGTTAAAAACTGAATAATATTATCTATTAAGGATAAATCATAATCTTAAAACATTTAGGATTAACCATTATCTTTATTACATCGATTTTTTTTTTTTTTTTAATTTGTTTATGTAACATCAATATTTTATATTTTGTCGTCCTTATTATTACATGGTCAACTGTTATAACACTTAGAATTACATAATCTAGTAGATAAGCACGACAAGCATATCTATTGGTTTTACACTGTGTTTTACAATAGCATCTTGTAAATTCTTACGATCCAGATATGCTGTTGAAAATAGTTACAATAGGTTATGATAACATAAAACCGGGTTTACCATATACGAGTATACTTTAGGTACCTACCTATGTTTCATAATCAAATCGATCACCAATAAAGTGGTGTTGATATTTGTTTTAATACGGATTTATAACATTGCCTATTATAATACCGAAATGTTGATAAAGCTACGAAATATCCAACATTCCTTATCCTTTCCAGTCATTGTCAACAATGACTAGGAAATCACGACAATTCCTGGATTATCATTTTTTTCGGTACAATATACATACATATATATCTAAAGTAGGTGCTTGATATAATATTATAAATTATAATAATAGTAGGTACCTAATAAAATTAAATTATTATGTTTAATTTAAATTGTGGTTAAATCAATATTTAAAAAAATAAAGTATCAGCTGTAATCTGTTTTTACAGCTGATACCTTATTTTAGTGGTGAATCACTTATTCGTTCACACAACGACACAATACCACGACTGATTAGGTAATCGATCATGTTGGGTTATGTTGGTAAGCAACGGCAATACCGCATGCACACGGGTGATAATCAGGAAATCAGAAACATATAATATATTATAATATGCTTAAACAGGCGCAATTGTTTGAGGTTAAAAATGAAGCGACCGAATAATGTATACGAATCGAGTACCTAGTACTCGTTATATTTTAACTTAGAAGTATATCGAATACTGCCGATACATATCGTTTTCATATATGAGCAGAACTTGTGAACTAGAACAAATTTTAACAATATTGGTACCTATTATTGTTTATCGGCGATAATGTTTTAACTATCCCGTTTGTTCAATTCTCATATTTAAAATTTGAACAATCGGTTTTAATATTGAAAAGTGTATAATATTAGGTATTATGATGGTCGACTTACTATTAATTAATATAGCCTTGGTTTAGTAATGATAATTAATGAACTGCTGTTGGATCGTTAATTGGGTCAGAAATATTTTCTGTACGCACTGTGTATACTGTATACAGTATACACAATAATAATATAATATATCAATTGAAAACCCAAGTGCTGGTTTGCTGCACTATTGTATATAAGTCTTATTATATAGTATTGTGTATACAGTGTTGATAAACGTATATGAAGCTCTAGCGTAATGGCATTGGATATCCGGCAATGGTTTTATAATTTATTATGTTATCTGCCTGGTGCGCTGATAACGACGATACAATATATATATAAAATATACATATATTGTAACTTATAAGTTGTTTAGGCGATTACGTAATAAATAAAACAGAACAACGAAATTCCCACGGAGGACTAGGTCACATTATGTCTTTTATTATAGTCGTCACAATACACACGTTAAAAGAAGTATCTATATAAATATATACCTAGTACCTAGTGTCAAAATTATTAAAAACGTCGTCATTCATCACTCGTAGTTTTAAAAGAGTTTCGGATATGCCTCGGTAGTCGGTGACGTTTCCATTCGACCTTGATTTCGACTTATATTTTTTTTGCTAATTTTAACCTTGAACAAGTTTTTCTTCTCCTGATCACAACACTTTTTTATGAATAAAAATACATGTTTATGTGATACTTTTTATATTATCTACGAATATGATATATTCTTGTCAGGATGGTTATAATAATGAATAATGAAACACAAATAAATACAAAAAAAATACAAATAACGATGTTATAAATTAAAATTAAGTAGTATTTCAACTATATAACTGTAATTAATGAAAAAAGAACAAATCTGAATAATCTATTTTTGGACAAGTTATGAAATCGGGTTTATGACCTTCACTAAACCTGAAAATATTTATGCCATTGAATCCTGTGACATATTTAAAATGCTTATTACTTAAATGTTGGATAGCCGATAGCTAAAAAATTTATATTTATGTATAAACTGAAAATAGGTGTGCTTAATGATATTAAAGTTGTAATTATATTTCATTCATAACGATTAAGACTTTTAGGTATTTGATTTTTACCAAGACAAAATAACAAACACCATTCAGTCACACCGGTACTATTACCTATAACTAATTATTTGATTCGTTATCGCGTGGAATTATCTTCATTAACATTGGATAATTCTTTCATTTTAATCGTTGTTAACCTAATAGTTTTAATGGTTTTATTGACAAATTTTATGGGTCATTATTTCCTCATTGTCTTATTAACACGTGCTGGTAATTAAATCGGTTAATAATTATTAAAAGTATCAATGAACATATAAGAAATTAAAAATGTAAAAGTTTATAAGAAAATTGGATTAATAATTAAAGGTTTTTTATTTAATTTTTACCATTTGACTTAAGTGATATGCAAAATTGTAAAAAGTTTTTTTATTAATTAATTTGGTTTAATAATTACTAAATCAAATTTTAATTTTAATTGATTATACTTACTTTTTATAGGTTTAAATTAAAAATACTATAGTTCTATAATTGAGTATTCTTAAAATAATAATAACTTTTTATGTATATTTCTTAAAATAAGGTATAAACTATTATGTATTTATAGCATATACTATATTTATGAGGTGTCAATTAAAAATTAATAAACGAGTAGCTAGAATTGTATTGTAATTTGTAACTGAAATATTTACTTAAAAAACAATATTATTTACATTTTAAATAATTTGATTACATTATATTTTTAAGTTATAACACATTTCTCATAAAATTAAAATTAAATAAATAAATAATTTACTAAATTATATTATTTATATTACTTATTTCTTAATTTTTTTTCTCTCCTTGAAAATTAGCTTTTAATTTCTATGAAGTACCTAACTGTAAAATGTATATGATATAACTATATATTTTATGTATTTTAATACGATCCTAGGACATTGGATTTAATAGTTAATATCCATTTTGAATTTATTCATGTTGACCCAATATAATATTCAGATAAAACTATGCCCATAACAAAAACTAATACGTTTAGGATTAAAATAGTATATTTTGATAACCTTAATGCTGAAGATGTATAAAATTAAGTCACTTTGATAGTTTTATTTATAATCATTTATATATTAATTGAAAGGTATGATGTAAATTGGTAATGGTAAATTTCAAAGATCGTGTAAGTCACAAAATCCGTTATATAAACACTTTCCCATTAGATTGCACACACAAATATACTAACCCATTGATATCTTCTCTATTGGCCATTGACCTATATCATTTTCGTTTTTTCTTAATTAACCATTTTAAAAAATGTACAACAAAAATTGATGGCGTTCGCGGGGACATGTCCTTTAACGGTTGATGCTTCACCCAAGGTGAAATTTTATGTATACGGTGTTTCCCCTCCCCATTTGTGAACTAAATTCCTCCACCCAAAGAAATTAAACGGGTTCCAAGGCAAATACCGTAATATCGCCAAAATCATAAAAATAAGTATTACCTATAAGTTATACATTAATTCCATTTACTTCTCTTAAAAAATATTAATAAAAAATATTATATCTCTACTACTATGTATAAAAAGTAAGGTATCATCTATACCTATATTATTAAATTTAAATTAATAATGAAAGTGAAAGCTAAACATGAAAAAGTGGAAATTAGAAAAATATTATGTTGTAATTAGGCTAAATGTAGACGCCTAATAGACAAACATGTTCTGATTATGATAGAAGTCTTGATTTTACTAAAGAAAACCATGATTTTTTTTTTTTCTATACTTAATTTATTATCAGTACAGAGAAACTTTATATCAATAAAAATAAATTAGTTAACATATTTATAAATTTTATAAAATAAATAATTTTGAAAAATTGTAATAAGTTTAATTAAATGACGTGACATAAAATACTGTTACAAAAACCTATTTCGAATTTCATCCATAAAATATTATACATTTAGTTGTTTGAATCATGATAATTAAATGAGCTTTTATAAAGTTCTTTTAAATTGGCATCACAAATGAACAATTTAATAGTTAATTAATTGTAAATTCCACATGAGATTTTTAAATTCAATAATACGAAACATCTTATTCCAGTGTTGGAATTTCCAAACAAATCGAATGACGACCTCTATAGAATTTTTAAAGGCGGAATCCGTGTAAATTAAATTGATGATAAATTAAAGAAAAAATATTATTTTGAGACAAGATAGGTTTTGTTTATTATCAGTTTGGTATCTCGATTAGGTACTGAAATATAGACGTTGACCCAACCGGTTTTGTGCACGTGTCTCCAGTAATATATTTGTCAACGTATAATCATTTTAATTTTTAATTTTACTATACATAAACTTTTTTTTAAATATTATAATTAGCTCAAGTTAAACTGACTTACCAAAGGCGTTTAAGTGATTCCGTTGGAACTGTTGGGCTGCCAGCGTTGAATTTTATTTCAAAATAAAAGAGACCAACAACTATGACGGTACATAAAAAATATGTAGGATTATATGTACGATATAATATAATATGAAATGTTTATAAATATTATATAAAAAAAAATTGATTTAGTAATATTATGAAACTGTTTTCCGTTAACAAAAAACACGACACTTCGATCAAAAATCGTCCGATAGAAGTTGTGTGGGATATATAATAATATGTTATATACTGTGTAAAAAAAAAAAAGTTTTTATTAACAACTAAAGGAACAGAACGGTAGAGCGTACGGAGCGCGTGTGACAGACCGAATGCAAGGCGGCCCGGACGGCTGCCACGGCGAGCGTCGCGCCTCAGGGGCTCCGGCCAATATGATGATTGACGTCACAGCGAGTATACGTCACGAGCGGCAGCACCGTTGCTAGGGGGTTCTGACGTCACGGCGGCCCTCGCGTAGGCGTACACACTCGCACGCCACGCGTGTCCCGGATGTGTCCAGGGGGCGGTCCTCGCTCCACCACGGCGGCAGTGGCATAATTTCCATGTATCCCATGTGCCCTACACACCCAACCACCCTCTACAGACTACCCCCTTCCCTGACAATCCACCGTAAAACGCACATCGTATAATCAGCACAGACTCGAAGAATATTTGCAAGCAAGTATAAGTAGACGGCGGTGGTGGTGTAAACGAAATCCCGTGATACAACGAAGTTGTTATTACTACTTGTACATAAAACCTCCCACGACGGGTCGGTGGTTTTTAAGTCGGAGGCGTTTGATGAGAAGAGGCGTGGGCGAGGGACGATGTGAAAAATAAAATAAATAAATAAAATCCTGCAGCAAGAGCCGATGACGTCAAAGTCTTGTACTGGATTTACAACGCGAAAACAGACGGTAATGGTTGACTTCGATGAGGGGAGGGGGTTGTTTTGTACATAGCTCAATACGAATATCAAAACACATAATAGTATTAAATAATAACATGTGGTAGCGGTGAAACGTAAATTTTCAATAATTTTCATTGTTTTTTACAACCTATAATAATTATAATTATAATTTGATAAAATATAATAATAAACGTATAAACGTATTATTATTTATTATACATACTCCCCTATTTTGGTTGTATGATACTTTTTTAACACAACAATATGCTATATTTATTCAGATTAACGTTCTATTATTGTATTTTTTCTTTATATCTGCAGTACATGCAATATAATACACAAAATTAAAAAAAAATGAATAATTTATAGACATATTTAAATTTATCTATATAATAATATTATTTATCTTATCTTTTGGAATCCAATGTCGTTCTAACTATTTTAAAATATATAAAACTGAATGTTTAATAATGTACTATCGTCGTTTGTTGTATTTACCTACCTAAATTTGTTCAAATGATACATTTACGTAAATGCTAACAATTTATATTCATAATTATATCTTTAAAAACAAATATTATTTAAAGTACTGTTTTACAGTAATTAGTACAATTAATATTAATGGAGGACTCGTTTCTCATAAAAAAAAATATTGTATATCACACATTATATAATATATCTACCTTTTTATTTGTTTTAAACCTTAAAGTAATAGACAGGTAGTACATATGAGCGCCTATACATTTTTTTAACCAAATAAGTTATATTTATTATTATGTTAATAATAGTTTTTAAAAAGCCAAGGAAATCATTCTGCTGTATAGTATAGATTTTGAATGTACCTCATCATTAAATACGTCGCTGTGATAAATATGTTAAATTTGAATTTTATGATAAATCACTGCACACGAAGAACGATTCTAAGCAGAGATCTTTAGCGCTTACATACCGTAAGTCACTATTAATATAAATTAAATAATATTAAAATATGTTCAGCCAATTATCTTGAAAAACGTATATTATTGTATAAATACAAAAATATATCATAATGATATATACTAATTACTAAATTTATAAAAATTCAAATATCTATATTGAAAATATATGGCGGTATCCAAGGTTTTTAACGCATTAGGTCAAATCAAAATATTTACGCTCGTGGTTGTCAACAGAGAGAGCGCTTGTGCCACGCGTGGGGTGGTTGCAAATTTTACCTCTCACTGTACAATACAATAAAATTGCTGGTCCGTTTGATGGATTAGATAATTATTTTCTTGAGTATAAAATATTTTAATGTAAAAAAGTATCGGAAAATGTATTTGTTATCAATTTTAAATGATTTATCACTCAGTCGATCATTTCCCATTGAAGTAATATCCTCAAACCTAAAAATTTTAAGTACAGGTCTTTGACCCTTGCCTTCCTTTCTAATAAAAATCGATTTAATGTACTAAAATAAACATAATATTGAACTTATTATGTTATTAACTTGGCATCTTTAAATTTTTGCCTGAACAGATATTAAATTAGATTTAATTAAATTAATTTAATGACTTAATAATTTCTAGTTAGAACATTTTTAAAATATCTAAGATTAAGTACCTAATCTCATTTATTTTTTTCACTTTTTTTTATGGTTAAATAGTTTAGTTGTCCAGATGTAATTTATAATTGTAAACTAAGCGTGCGGATCTGATACCTATAAGTGTAATGAGCATAATAAATTATAAATTAAGCATTCCCTCTACCAAAAAAGAAAAAATTACACCAAAATTCTTTCTAAGTATTCAATTATCACATCTTTGGTGATTATTAAAATAATAAACTAAACGGTCCACAATTGCAGATGTGAAGTACAATTATTTCAATTTTTGAGGTGAGAAGTATATAAAGTAAAAATAGTTTAATAATTAATCTATACTTTGTTTTAGCATCTACTAAACTATTAGCAATATATTATATAATACCATATTACCTAATTATATATAAAAATATAGCCTAATTTGAATAATAATCATGAATCATGATATTAAAATCATTTCAGCTTTGTACTTACAATTCTCGTCAAAAGTTTATATGAAAAAAAAAATCAAATTAATTTATTAGAAACAATAAAAAAATTGATAAATACTAATTAGTAATAAATAGGTAGGCAATACTTTCGATTAATAAATAATCATGTAACATATAGTTTTAAACCATTGGTAAAACAATAAATTTAGTTTTATTTCAAAATATATTGGAACCTATTCGAAAATGAATATAAAGATGATGTGTTAAAAATGGTTAAAGAAATTATACTATATATATATAGAACACAAAGAGAAAATTTTTAGATTTGATTGGCTATGTATTTTTCAGGTGTCAATGTGTTATAAATTATTATAATTATTTATCAGATATTAATTATTATTATATCTTGTTCACAAAAATTATAAATCAAAATTATTAGTTGTTATTTATTAATTTGATTGATATATTATGTATTACTGTTAATATTTTAAATAATCTATGATCTGTCCATGTGGTACCTATAGACTATGCCTCTGAATAACAAATAATTGACTTAAAAAATGTCTGTCAAAGTAGTTATGCATTATTTTTCTATAAACTTGTATACCTTTAAAACGATAATATGGCTAATTATTTTTAAATAAGATAATTACACTTATATTTTACATTGTTTATTGGATGTTAACATAAAATAAAATAAATGATAAAAAAAAAAAATTAAAAATAATACTAACATACATATTGTATTCTGAAATCCAAATAATGTATAAAATAAATAAATCAATTAATACTTATAATACTATTTATTACAAATTGTATCGTTTAACGTTTTGCACTTATTTATGTATACGTACATTATGATTTGGCAATTTGTCAAGAATTTAATAAGTGATTAATTTTTTGCCATTTCACGTGTTAAATAACGCGAAAACACGAATCCATCACGAGCTTATGTATAATTTATATATGAACTCATTCACTGTTTTTTAGAATCCAATAGATTAATAATTATTAATTATATGTATTTTTATTATCTTTGCTGTACTTTAAATTATAATGCAATAACTGGATAAGAAAATTCTGTGTAAACGATTTTTCAAAAATGACTTTATTGACATATTATTAACATATCTAAAAATAAAAACAAAGGTTAAATATTATAAACAAAAAAAAAACTTTCATCGCAATCTACATCAATATTATTTGTCTTTTCAAAGATTAAGCAGTACTAATAATTTAAATCATTTTCATAACGTTCAAATGTAAATATGTACTGCATCTATCACTGTCTGAATAAATATAAATAATAATTTTAATTTTAATTTCAATTAATAAACAGTGAGCTAAGATTAAAGATATTGTTTTTTTTTATCGTAAATTCTCAATCATAAATATTTAAAAAATAATTAAAAAATTATATAAAAATATTATCTACATTTTTTATTTTTACTTGCTTGTAAAATAATTATATTTTTGTTTAATGATCTAATATATAGTTGACGATTAAACATGTCAGATTACATTTATGGAAAAATTCATTCTGTTTAAAATACAGAATTCGCAACTAGCAATCATAATAAATACAGCTATAGTAATTTTTATGAGTTTGTAACTGAAAATAATAGGTAATATTTTAAAAATACAATTAAATTATTTTTTCCATGTATAAAAAATGTATAGGTACTTACTTCTTAATAATATATTAATATAAGTATAAGTAGGTACTAACAATTTCCTACAATTTTTGAACTTCTTGTTGAAATTTTATTAATAATAATAAAAATATATCAGTTTTTATTTTAAATAACATGAATACATATTTAATTATAATTTTAAATTTAGACACAATTTTTTTGTAATCCTTTTAAACATGTTTAGTAAATAAAGTGACAACTAACCATCGAATGCTGAACAATTATAATTAGTAAAAGATTAATTTATGAAGGTTTGGTAACTAGTGGGTCCACTTTAAATGATCATTATATGTTTGATATAAAAAAGTAATGTGGTAAATTAATTTTAGGTCGAGGTCAAATTTAAAGATTAATATTTTTCAATAGCATCATAGAACTATAAAATATTCAATGATAATATTTTTATGAAAGTAGTTTATTAAATTAATTTTCAATGTGATTTTGAAAAATTATTTTAATCGGATTTATAACGTAAACGTGTTTATTTTCAATTTTGTTTAAATATTATCATAAGGTATAAACAACAATAGTGTACGGGAAACAGATATTATATAAGTAAGAATGTGGTTAATCTTTATCTTCACATTTATAGTTCAGAATAAATAATTATAGTATGTTTTGTAATTTTTTTTATAAATATTTATAATATTATATATGATTTTAAGAACTATTTTATTGTTTTTTAAATACTGAGCGGACAGACGAATGTATTGATTTCATAATCAAGTCATCA